GTAAAATGAATAAATACTATACGAGTATATTAGATGCACCTCATTAAATTTGATGGAGTTAATACGATTTAAAGCGCTAGACTCAACATGGTACAAATCCATATTCAAAAAGATGCAGATGCATCCAAACTGGAAAATACGCTGCATAAACATACTCTTAGGTATCGTAAGCGTCAGAAAAAATGAAGTATTAGGTCACGTCTGCTGAACACATGTGTCGTGGACGGTGATTCTTGGAAATAAATAAGACGACTACTAGGAGACTGCTTGATTCATCTACGTTTTTGTGTGTGTATGCGCTTCTGGTTTAAGATAGAAAAAAATAAGAATAACATTGACGGCTGGTAAACAGGTTGGAATTTTACGAGGTGGCTTGTAAGCAAGTGTGTGCTTTTCACCTCACACGTGGCCTGCTATAGATCGCATAGTTAAGTTTTAGCCCAAAATTTACATATTTATATAGTCAGGGCATGGAAATCTTTCACTAGTGGGAAATATTTTTCAACTCGACCCTTTTTCATAATTACGTTTCACGATAACACGGTGCAAATTCATTTATACAATTTTAAAGTAGAGTAACTTTTTTCCAAAGTTGAGCTTTCTCGACTTATAAGCAGTTTAAGGTCTGAAAAACTAGTTAAGTTCAAACCTTTTTCTGCAATATTTATAGACTATTCCAAAATTCATTTTATTGTAAAGCATTGTTATTCAATTGTTAATAAATTCAAAAATAACTTTATTCGAAGAGAAAATATAAATTTTTTGTGATTGGTTCAAAACTTGTTAAAGAAAATTTGCACCCATCCAGCATATCTAATAAAGGATCAGAAAACCTCTTAGTAAAGAGAAAATGGAAAAGGAAATACTTATTGTCGTCATTGAAACCAGCCTGTTCTGGTGCCGGAGGTTCGTGAGGAATCCTCCACGGTGGCGTTTTCTTGCCATCTCGCAAGTGATCCCCAAACATAAGATTTTCTGACCGAGACTACAAATGTGCCGATAAGCTCTTACAGCTAGCTTCTGCCATCTTTACTCAAGTATCGACTGAGTTTTAGCCGTACGAAGACAAAAACCAACCAAAGAACCACGAATATGTACGCAAGTTCTTACGACCATTCTGAAGCATTAGTTTGGCTGAATTTAAAAAAACACTTATATAGAGTGCTCCAGAGAGGATTTAGCATTTCCAAATTGAATGAAACAATACGCATACTCATGATATCAGTTCATGCATGGCAATATTTCGCTTGCATCACGATGTATATTTTCTTTCAGGTTAGCGACATTCCTTGGAATATTGGTGTAATTTTTCCCTGGACTATGTTTATAGGAAAAAGTCCATGGGTGTTAAATCTGGTGATCACAGTAAACATACAATAACACCAAAGCGTGACATCACCTTTTGTGGAAAAATAATTTGAAATTTTTTCAGACATGCATCACCAGTAAAACATCTTCAAAGCTCTCGCATTTTCAAAGAACTGATTATACGCGTCTTGGTGATATTGCATGAAACATCTCATCTCATGGACCTTCTCCTGCAATAGCAAAGTTTACTTCAACACGTCAAGGAATATCACTCACTTGAGGAAAGTATTCATCGCGAAGAAATCAAAATCAACTAGCTATGCTTCAGCCTTATGCAAGATGGTATAGTTATATAGCGAGAGCCCCTCGTATATCTTCCTAATAGCTGTAATTATATCTTATCTTATTAAACAACCCTATGTTATATATTGATGGTTGTGCCCTTCAGGCATCAGTTTAATCCTATTACTCTTAAATTGAACTCACTTAGGTTAGGTTTGCTAACATATCGTTGTTAGTCGAAACATTATATTTATATTAGAATAAAGTATCAAATCGCTTGTAAGTCGTTTTTAAAAACGCGATTCCGCGACGCGATACCATCATTGGCGCAGCCAGTAGGATCAGAAGACTGGACCAGAACTCAGCAGAGGACTTCCAGGCTGATTTCAATCACTAACTTCTGGAACCGACGAGACCAGGAAGATCAGGAGAAGCCCAAGGACGAAGATTGACGCCAGAGTGCAGTGTCTTCAAGTCTGAAGGTAATTCAAGTCGAATTTTCCTTGTCTTTCCTCTCACCTTTTTTTTAATTTAAGATTTTTGGTGCAGTTTTGTAAAATTTAATTTTGCTGAAGATTGCTCAAAACATTAGTATTAAGTTAGTTCTTGTTCAAGAGCTACATTTTTGAAGAGAACTTAATTTTAGTAAATTTGTCGAGAGCTACATTTTCGATTTAGATGAGTTACTATTTTTTAAATTTTTGCCGGTTGCAAAATTATTAAATTTAAGGAAATTTTCACATTAAAATAAGGCTTAGGTAGAATCTCATTAAATTTTATTACATTCGTATTCACTTGGTATTTTCACATTTTTCATACTTTTACATTTTTATAGACCATAACTTTATGCAAGATTCTAATTCGGCTCTAGATACTATAACAAATTTATTAGAAAACATGTCTCTTAATAACAGTACAATCACCGTTCCAAGCATGCACGCCGCAAAAGCTATTGCAGATTTTCTGCCATATTTCGATGGTGATACCCAACAACTGGAATCATTCATCTTTAGATGCGAAAAATTTTATAATACTTATGGTAGATCAAACGATGCCAGTTTGAACGATTTCGTCTTTAATGTAATTTGTTCAAAACTAAAAAGTAACGTTTACAACTTTTTAATGTGTAGACCAGATCTCATTTCTTGGGTTCTAATTAAAAATGCACTCAGAGAGCATTTCGGTTACAAAATTGACAGACAAACCCTTACGAGAGAATTTCTGCAATTTTCAAAATATAGAAATGAAACCATTATGGAATTTTTAGGAAGATTAAAATTAATTAAATCAAGAGTTGAAGTTAAAATCCAGACAGATCCTTCACTCACCCCTGATCAGAAAGTTTTACTTATCAGCCAAAATGAATTAAATGCACTAGACGTATTGACCGCAAATTGTGACGATAGACTTAGACTTTTGTTAGACATTCAACAGCCCTCCGACTTATCAGATGCGACCAACGTTGTTACTAAACATTTCTACAATGAGATGAGAATAGATGCACTGACATCCTAGCCACTTTCAATCACATTCACACAAACCTAGACGTTACAATTATAATAACTCATCACGCCAAAATTATTACCCATCTCAAAGACACAACCCTACATACACTCAACCTAATACCACACATATTAATTATCAACAACCACCAGCCATACATGAACAATTTTCTTCTCAGGAGTTTCACGCTCAATATTCACCACAAAATCATTTTACTCAGACACATCAACCTTCCTTCAATGAAAGTAGACAATTTCCATCTCAACCTATTCCTAAACCAAAAATTAAAGTTCTCCAAAATATTCCTATCCGTCCCTCAGGAAAAGTCCGCTCAGACAGTGAGACAGTTCATAGTTCTTTTGAAAATCCGATAATAGAAATCCCATATACAGACAAAGTATTAAACATCCACCAAAACCAAGTTATTTTAGGCATATCACCCTGTAAATTATTTCAATGCCACTTTGAAAAAATTTTCAAAAAGAAAAGGCATACATTTTTAGTTAGGAAAGACTTATTAGATGTAAGTAAAATAAATGAACTAGAAGAAATTTTCGCTAAGCTAATTAAGAAGAATTTTTATTGGCCTAATTTAGATGTAGACGTTAGAAATTACGTAAATTCCTGCGATATATGTCAGAAATCGAAATACGAAAGGCATCCCAATAGGTTAACCTTTAAACCAACTCCCATAGGATCTAAACCATTTGAACATTTATATATAGATTCTTTTAAAATTTCAAATCAATATTTTGTAACAGTTACAGATAGTTTTTCAAAGTTTTCACAGGCATTCCCAGTTAGTTCATTAAATGCAATCGAGACAACTAGTGCTATGATCCAATTCTTTTCATTTTTTGGCATTCCTCATAAAATCACATGCGATAATGGTACCGAATGGAAAAATAATATTTTCCAAGATCTTTGTAGTATGTACGACATCTCTCTTCATTATACAACAGCATATAATCCCAATAGTAATAGTCCAGTTGAGAGATTTCATTCCACTATTATAGAAACAATAAGAACCTTAAGAGAGGGAAAACCTCACCAAAATATTAGAGATCTCATGCATTATGCAATTTTATCATACAACAATAGCATTCATTCTTCAACTGACTTTACCCCTTTTCAAATTGCTAAAGGACAGCTAGATTTAAGAAATCCCTTCGAGACAACGACGAACGAACAGATTTCCACATATGTGACAGAGCATTCCCAAATCCTTAAACTTTTGTCTCAACAACTAACAGAAAAGTTAGAACGTAAACAAAGACAAAATTTAGAAAGAGAAAATAGACTTCGAAATCGTTCTCTTTCGCTTGATGTAAAGCAACCACTTTTTTCATTAAATAATTCCAAAACAAAGAAAGACCAACCACTTTACAAAAAACTGACCGACCCTACAGTTACTGGTGACAATAAAGTTATTTCAAAAAATAAAGTTACGCATCAAAGACAGCTCAAACCACAACGAAAAATCATTGTTACAGGTAGACATGACAGGAACAAGGCTGCTACACCTACTCCTGATGATAGCTCTGACGATGACATTCCCCTTTCCCAATTATTCAGTCAAAATCACAAGATTAACAAACCCGATCATTCCACTTCAGCTAGGTAAAGCATATATCTTAGAAAATCAGCACACATTCTTATATCATATTAACATTAGTACTCCCGTATATATTTTAGATAGCATAGGGCAACATATTTTAAGAACGCAAGTATTTTTGAAACAAAATTCCAATCACTTTTCAATTCATCTTTTACAAAAATTGGAACATGCTATTTCATTGAAAAATAAAATCGACAATAAATTTGGCATTTTACATAATAAACGCATTAAAAGAGGTTTATTTAATGGTGTTGGTACACTTTCGAAATATTTGTTCGGAACGATGGACTCCGCAGATAAAGAAATCATTAACAATTATTTGGATACTACTGGATATTAAATCTAATGAGTTGAACTTACAATCTCGCATAAACAAACAACAAACAATATTAAGGGATATTACCACTCATTATGAGATTACTTTTCAGACCATTAGGGATAACGAGAAAATTATTGTTAGTCATCTAAATGACTTGATCAGCAACAATAAAATTTTAAGGGAACAAGATAATGTATTATCACTCAGCCTCACTATAGATAAAATTATTTTGGAATTACAAGCTTTATATGAAATAACTAGCAATTTACAAACAGCCTTATCGTTTGCAAGAATACATATTTTACATTCTGCAATTCTAGACACAAATAGTATTTCCTCAATTTTAAATTATTTATCCAAAGATTATAGTAGCGAAAGAATTCCGAAATTTGATCACGTAATTGACTATTATTCATTATTTACAACCGATGTAACTATTTTCGATAATATCATTTTATTTCAAATTTATGCACCATTAATCTCGAACTCCTTTCATTATTTTAGTGTTTTTCCTGTTTTCAATTTAACTATACCCTAATCCCAAAATCCCAATACCTTCTTTTCGACTTGAAAAACCACTGGAACACAGACCACCTTTGCACATAAGTCGCAAATAAATACTTCTGTAAACACGAAGACTTATTAGAAGCAGATCCACGCCTAGTAGAAATTATCAAAAATGGAAGAAATACTTGTCCCATAACAAGAATACAGCAATCAAGAACTCTGGTACAGCAGATATCTTCATCTAAAGTAATCATAAGTCCAAGAGAACCCACTACAGTGCATTCGTCATGTCCAGAAGTCGGCCTGATAGTTATTTCTCAACCAAGTCTCATAGAACTCCAGCGATGCAGCTTAGAAATTAATCTTGCGTTCTATCCCTCAGATCGCATCGACCATGAAACAATTTTCCCGTTACCAGCTATAAGCCTGACCAATTTCGCGAAGCAGAACCTTGTTGATGTAACAAAATTCAACTTGAAGACAATCCAGAATCTTCAAATATCCCAAGAACAAATCAACGAAGACAGTATCCAGTTCCCAGATCGACCCATAGAGAAGACAAATCTAATCATATTTTTACTTCTTCTATCAACTTTCATTGGATACATCATTTCCCAAATTTTAAAGAAGCTAGGAGAAGCAAGAAGACGTAGAGATGAAGAAGCAGTTCCGGATTCGCAAACTTTGGATCCCCCGTTTGCTCATCTTCGGCAGGGAGGAGTTATATAGCGAGAGCCCCTCGTATATCTTCCTAATAGCTGTAATTATATCTTATCTTAGTAAACAACCCTATGTTATATATTGATGGTTGTGCCCTTCAGGCATCAGTTTAATCCTATTACTCTTAAATTGAACTCACTTAGGTTAGGTTTGCTAACATATCGTTGTTAGTCGAAACATTATATTTATATTAGAATAAAGTATCAAATCGCTTGTAAGTCGTTTTTAAAAACGCGATTCCGTGACGCGATACCATCATTGTATGAACAGATTCCATAAGTGCGTGCGTCGGAATGCAGGAAATAAACATGAAATTATATGCAAAAAAATCAAATCCGTATTTATAATTATCTCTAGGACGACTTGTATGAGATGCAGTACCTTATTTCTTTTTGAACAAAGGCAATGTTGATGGTTCTGTGGGACTTTAGCATACCTACCAATCAGTATCTGTCGTCACTCTGTGAGAGCATCAGTATGTCAGAAGAAACTAGCGGGAAGAAGAAGTATAGAAAACAATTTTCTTCTATACTGTAAGAAAGAACCTTCGAAAATGTTTCAGTGTGATACGGCGTGTTATCTTTTTATCTCACGCCGCAGTTGATATAACGTTCATTTTGCTCTATAGATATGCACTGAAGTGCTTTCGAACCCTGATGAGTCACACTTCGCGCTCTGCAAAAACGATGATGATAAGGAATCCATTATTCACGAAGCGCATGATGAGGTGCCATGTGTCATCTAGACCTGAGAACCATTCGTCACCAACAAGATCCGGGTTCGGAGTCTTGCCCTAACGGCATGGCAGTACTAGATGGCAACCAGCGGGCGTACCAAGAAGCACCACATCGCGCATAATAAAACGTTTATCCATCATCCAGTAGTGGTCTGCGCGCGACAACCGAATCTGCATAACAAGAAGCTATGGTGCAAATTAATGAATATGATATTTGAAGTTCAGTATTCAGAGATTTTAACTACGTTATTACATGACATATCATTACGTAGATATGGAATGGATACCTTTGACTAGTAAGTATATTGCACTTATTATTCATTTTTTTTATAAAAAACGTCTGAACAGCTTTTCATGTTGAGTAAGTACTAAGTATTTTCTTTTATAGATTGACTTCCAACGGCATAATGCAGCCCTTCTAAGAAGGTTGTCTACAAACACTACTTACCATTCGAAAACGTTGTTGCTGTTCTGGTTGCGATGAGTTTTCTTGTCAGCTGGTGCGAATCCCAGTTATAGATGAAGGATTATCACAAAGAGAGACCGAACAAAAATAGTGACATAGTTTTTCGTATTACGGATGTCATGTAACATCCAAAAAAGAAATATCTCATTTTCGAACTTTCTAGCGATTACAATACGATAATAGGCCTAGGACGTAAGAAAGATACAACTCGAGATCTTTATCCTCGGTTGCTCCAGCGATAATGAAGAATAATGAACCAAATCAACAATATGCTGAGAATTTTGAAGACATTCAACTTTATATAGACGGATTTTAAATTCAAAGGATTAACCCGGTTTTGTTGACAGAAGCTTGAACAGGCTAAGATCTGCCTGAATAAAAGTGGTATCTGCTTGATCTGATGTATAGGGTATAATTGTGATGCTCATTTTTTTTTCCATTCAGTTTTTCCACCATGTTGGAATGTTTACACGGGGGCCTGCTTTGTGACTTTTTGTGAACAATTTTGCATTACAGATGACATGTAAATGAAAAAACGTATAGACGCTCTTCAAGCAATATTTTGCGGACATTATGCATTTTATGGTCTCTAGTAAGTCTTAATTAAGTATTCCGGTAACTGAACGGGAAGTGAAGTATTCCAATTGCCCATAGGTGCTACGAAACACGTGGGGATGTCGGTCTCTTTTTTTGGAGAATGTTACCGGTGATCTCCCACACACTCAGCTTCCTACAGATATCATTGACCCTCTACGAACCAAAGACCGTCTAATAGCCAAATGAAATATGGTAATATGCACATGTTGTTGCTCTAGTTGTCTCGGAATATGAATTTGTTGGTCTAAGCGCTTCTCAAGTGATTCGCCACTTTTGAGAGTAGGTAGTCCAAAACCTATAGAGAGATACTAAAAATAGTTGATTTTCTTATTTGTCTCCGTCCATAATTCTTAATTACGTTCCACAGGTCATCATTTTTGCAATTAATTTTTTTTTTGTAGTTCAGACATTCTATTGCTTTATATCTGCATGTCATTTTTGGCACAAGTTGAAACAAGCTTTCGGGACAACTCGTTAGTTCCCACCCTTGAGTAAAGTAGTCAGTAGCAAGCGGAGTATTATGATGGCGAAATTTTTCGAATTTTAGTTAACCAGTTTTTTGGTTGGTCTGACTGTTGGCATACTGTGGGGTCATAATAACTAACGCTGCTTTTGAAAATCGATGTACTGGTGGCGGAATTATGAGCGAACAGTCCTTTTTTGTACAAGTATGCACAATTTGCATTTGGCACCACACGTACATACAAGCATGCTTGTTAAAAATAGAGGTAGTTTAATAAAATATGTAGAGCTCGGACGACGATGCGCTCTTTTTGGACGTTGTTGTTCTTGTGAAGAAAAAAGACCCGGATAAAAAAGGGTGCGGTGTGGTGTAAAAAATGGTGGATGAAAAGGAAAACCTATTCTCACATTAACTTACTAAGTGAGCTGCAAATATATCCGCGTGATTAGCACAATTATCTTAGAATGGATGAAGAGACGTGTTTAAACCTTTTCTTTCTTGAATCACCCTTCATTCAAAAGCAGGATACAATCATCAACGGATGCTAACTTGTGCAAGCTTGAAAATCTTGGGTACACACATACCGTTTTGCTTGCGCAAAAAAAAGCATGCATAATTAAAATCAATTCAATCCTCAAGCTGCTTGTACAATTACAAAGCTTGCACCACATTTCCCTACAGACATTCAAGCGTGCTTGTACAAAGAGATTGAACAAGCTTCTGGACAAGGTTGCAGTTGTGTCTGTAGCTACCTGGCGTCATTCCAGTTGATATTTTGCTAAAGGAGAACCATATTTTTTTGCTTCGGATCTTCCGAGCCAATCAATTTGTCAACATTCCTTGTATTCACATAACAAAATATCATATGCCTAGGAGGTATCCAGACTGAAGATTGTTTTTCCTTCTTCTGAAAATTCTGGGGTTGCCTCTATTTATTCGTCACAATTGGACCGCGTATAACTTTAGTACCCCTCGGATTTGGATGAAGTTCTCAGACAAGGTCGATATTATGCCAAGAATGAATAAGCTTTGTAGTTTTTTAAAATCTGTCCAGTGGCGCCGGTGCTAGGGGCAAAAACATCAAAAAAAATAAAATCGCCAAAACTTCATTTTTAGCATTTCAGAGGTGCCTGATCGTTTTCAAACAAAAATTGTTGTAGATTGAGATTTGGGGTAGGGTTGCACGAGGTGGGAGAATATATTTTTTGATGTTATATACGCCCTCAACCCCAGTAATTATATGCACCTATTAGCCATATTTCACACATCATAGATTCCCCGAATATTTGCCTTCAAAACTTGAAGGTGGGTACTAACGGCAGATGTGGAAAGGGACAACGTTGCCAGATGTACAATAACTACCGGTAGGGCAGATAAAGTATGTCTATAGACTAATTCTACGGCGTTGCGAGAAAGAGCTGAGTCAACTTACTTGATGCTATATTTTGTCAATTCAAAACGGCGTCGTGGAGCGTTTATACTCTTTATACATCAGTAGAATTTTTGCAATCAAAAAAG